TCAGACAAAAGGTGAGGGGGAAACTGAGGCACAGAGCAGGGATGGCACTTACTCAAGGTCTGTGGCAGAGCCAGTAACACAACCCAGGTGTCTTGAGTCACAAAACAGTGCCCTTGCCACTAAGCCAGACTGCCCCTCGGCAGTATAGCATAACGAACTCATTCCTCATCTTGAGTCCCTCATGGAGCTGTAACCCCCACCATAGGGCACCAGCAGGATTTGAACAAGGACCTTCAGCAAAGAGACCAACCACTGGAGATAAAGGAGAAGCTCCAATAGCTGGTAGCAGTAGCAGGTTGTTATCCTCTAGTGAAGTAGCCCTTGTTGGGGGAAGCAACACTCACCGCCGGCGCATAGGCAGGGGAGCTAAAAGGTCAGCATTGCCTCATTACAAACGGGGGAAGATCTGGCCGCAGTGCGATTCCCAGGGGTGCAGGGCCTTGTTGTGACACAGACGTGTCCATCCCACCACACATGGTCCTGCACACCCATCTACCTGCACTCCCACAGCTAATCAGCTGGCTCAGTAGGCATCACACACACACCCACACACACACACACCCACCCACCCCCCCAGCTGGCTGCTGACTCCCAGTCGGGGGAGTGACTGACTCCTTTAGTGCCTGTGACTGGGGCTCATGCTTCTGGGGCCTGATCCAACTCCCACCAGAGTCAAAGGAGAGGTTCCCTGGAGACTGGACAGAGCCCCCAGGGCCCCCAGGCCACTTGCACACCTGCCTGCCGCCTCTCTCTCTCTCACACACACACACAGACACACACACTGTTTACAGCAAGACCCACGCTGATCCTCACCAAGCGCGGAGCATTAAACAATTAGCAGCCCTCTGGCTGCTGAGAGCTGATTACGGAGCATGGCTTTGGGAGGAGACGCCTGGCTTCCCCTATAGCAGGTATTGCGTGTGATCAGAGCGAGGATGTGCCCGGACACATACAATAGGCAGAGAAACCAAGAGAAAGGGAATAAGGGAGGGGAAGACAATGAGTTCTGGAGCCACCCCCACGCCCAAGAGTCACTAACACTGGGAGAGACAAGCGGAACATGGGGAGGTGTCAAGGAATCCTGGAGCTGGAAGGAGGAAGATTATAACCTAGGCATCTCCCCCCCCACCAGCTTCCCTCAGCCCCTGCCAGGATCTCAGGGGAGAGTAAAGCTGGAACATTCGGATCCAGATCCAAACCGGTTCCTGGGAGCTGGGGTTTGGATCCAAAACGTGGAGCTGGATTTGGGTTCTAAAGCATCTCCTGTGCCGGAGCCAGTGGCTGGTGTCAGGCTGGCCCGGTCTGGGTTCCAGAACCTTCCTCCCGGGCACAGTCACGCCAAGTGAGTGAGTCACAAATTCTGCCCCAAATCTAGTTGGTTTTAACCCCCCCCCCACCCCACACACCGAGATGGAACGAAACACGCCCAGGATCGTAGGTTTCTTAGGCGTCAAGTGGGAACAGGTGGCTCCAGACAAGTGACCCCGTGTCCCGCTCAGGCTCAAGCTTTGCAGTCCAGGGGCTGGCACATGAGAACCAGGAAGTGAAACTGACTAGGAAAGTGTCTGTTTTCATCAGGCCAGCTGAGGGGGAAAGGGGGAAAAGAAAACAGTGAAGAGGGTACATGATTCATCCCGTTCTTTCACCTTTAATCAGCTCAGAAGCGGAGAAGGAGGCAAGGGGGGAACAATCATCAAATCATAGACACGTAGGGCTCGAAGGGACAGGGAGAGGTCATCTGATCCATCCCCTGCACTGAGGCAGGATCCAGTACCCACAATAGCCGGGTCCACATCTAAACGCCGGATCCAGACCGCCTCCAGCTTTGAACCCAGCTCTGAACTTGGAGGATCAGGCCCCTCTCTAAATGAAAACAAGCAACGTCTCTTGACACAGTCTGCAAAAGCGCAGAACCTCCCGTCACCTGTCTGGAAGGCAGCTAATGACTGTGCAGTGATGAAATGGACGAGAGTCTCCTCATGGGGCAGGAATGTACAGGCAGAGCTGGTTTATAACTCCAGCCTCCCACTAAAAGGCAACACTGTAGGGAGGCAGCCTTGAGACTGATGAGGAAACACCTGCTCCTCCCCAAGAGCGGATTGTTATCAGCACAGCCCTGGCCTCCCATCCCCCCTGCGGTGAACAGCGCCCGGGTTCCCGCAGCGGTGGCAGAAATGGCTTTGCCCGGTTAAATACCGCCAACCTTCTTCAGCTGACGAACGGAGGAAACCGGAAGCCTTCCCCCATAATTAATAAAGGGATCATCGTCATTATTATTAATATGCATTGATTAGAGTGCATTTATGGAAGCAATGCTTAAAAGAGGTGGGTGTCAATTAAACATGCAAATTAGCTCTTTGTGGGCATTGAGGGCAGTGGGCTGTGAGCCCCGGAGCGTCGCAGATCAGTGGTCGGAGCTGGAGGCTCTTGGGAGCAGCTCAGCAGCCCACGGGCAGGGGGTGGGGGTCATCCCCCCTGCCCACTTTGCCCCCCGGTAGGGTCGGGGTTGGTGGTTGTTTCTAGCTGCAGAGCCAGAGGCACACAGAGCTGACACCCTGTCTAATAAGAGCCTGGTTGGCCAGGACCACACCCTGCCAACGTGCCATCTAAGAGTCAGTCACCAGCCAGCGGCCTGGTCCTAGAGACAGGTGCCAACTGCGTCCCGTTCACACAGCAGCTTCCGCTCAGCTACACAAGACAAGGAAGGCCCGAAGCCTGCCCTGAGCACACGCAGTGGGCCTGGTGCCCTGGCCGGGGCACTCTCTGGGCTCCCTCCCCCATATCAGCTAGCTCTGCCTTTGCCCACTGCAACAGCTGCTCTGCCATCACAGATCCCGGGGGGCACATGTTGGCGCATCCACTCTCAGCACACTGAGCTAAGTCAGACCAGCTGCCCGATCCACTCTGCGCCACGTGCCCTCGTTCACACCAGTGCGAAACGGGCATCACGTGCTACTCAACGGGCCGTGGACACCCACGAGGCCCGGCTGTGAACGACTGCCTGGGCACGAAGGAAGGAGGCCCGGGCCCATTCTCAGGCCAGATCCTCAGCCGGTGTCAAGCGGAGTCGCCCTCCTGGCTTCAGTAGCGTTCTGGGGACTGACACCAGCTGAGCTTTTGGCCCGTTTCCTAGGCCAAGAACCGAAACATCAGGGCGTCAGCATTTCCCATCTGAGCCGCCGTGGGGCTCAGAGACCCCCAGCAGGTCGGGGCCCCGTTGTGCCGAGCGTTCTACAGGCACAGAGGACCTGCTCACCTGCCCGGCCCTGCCCAGCCCGGCTTGTTATGATCCTGCCGTGCTCTGAGTCACGGCTGCTTCGGAGCCACCACCAAAGGGCTAAAGCCTGAGTCAGCAGCTCAGCTGACAGGGGGCAGGGCTGGGAAGGGGCAGCATTTGTCGAGTCACTGCGAGGCTGCCAGGGAGAGGGCGGGAGGGGTGCCAACACGTAGCACGGGGGGGGGGGCAGAGACCCCCGGTTGGGGGGGGCCGGGGGGGCGGCTTGCTCTGGGGGGCCCCTCTGGGGGGGGGGGGTCACACACCCCCCCCTTGGAAGGCAGCACCAATGATTTCACTTCTAAAGAGTCCTTTGCAAGGGAACAAGTTTCTTATCCCTTGGAAGTCCCTTTAGCCAATGGCCCACTGCCTGCCCCCCACCCCAGAGCCAGCCACCAGCCCCGCAAGGCGCTCCCTTCGCTTGGGGTGGAACCCCGAGTTCCAGGGCTGCACAAGCTGGTCAGGGGAGGGGGGTTGCTCGGTTTGTGGGGGTTGCAATGGGGTGTGGGGGGAGGCCTTGTAGGGGGAAAGTGGGGAGGGACTCTCCATGCAGGAGAATGTTTGAAAACACCTGACAACCAACGGGCACAACAATAGCACTCTGCACAAGCACACGGGGCCCGATCCTATCCACGGGCCCGATCCTGTCCAGCCCCCCCTCCCTGCACTGGGTTTCCTGCAGGATCTGAGCCGCGGGATGAACTGCAATCAGGGGGCTACACAAAGGAACCCCCCCAAACCCGAAGGGGGTTCTCAGGCGGAGATCCAGGGCCCCACATCGCTGCAGGGCGGGGTCCGGGGCGCATGGAGGGCAGAGGGCCAGAGCCAGGCAGGCAGCTCTGGATCCAAACCCGGATCCGTGTTTATGGGGGGCTGGGAGGGCGCCGGGGAACCCCCGAATCTGGCCCCCGCGCTGAGGCAGGACCAAGGCAACCTCGCTCCAAGTTGCCCAGGAGCCTGTCCCGGCTCTTTGCCCCGAGCCGGGCTAAGGGACCGGGCGACTCACCGGAGGCTGCGAGGCAGAGCAGCAGGAGTTTCCAAGCCGCGGGGGCCGGGGCCGGTGCGAAGGACCCGCTCATGACGTCGCTGTCACGACACGCGTGGGGAACTCACAGCGGCCCCCCCGGGCCGGGATCTTCCTCCGTGAGCGAGCGCGGTGCCTGGGGGGGGGTTGTCCCCTGGGTGGGGGGGTCCCTTGCAGCTGGGCGCGCGGATCCCCCGGGGGCCGGGCCTCGTGCGCTCAGGGCCCGCTGGGTCGCTGGCTCATGCCCGGCCGCTGGTTGCGCTCCCCGCTCGGCCGCGCTGCGCTTCGAGGCTCCCCAAGCTGCTCGCCCAGCATCGCCCGGGCGCGGGGGGGAGGGGGGGGGAACCTGTCTGGCAGGTCGGAACAGGTGTTTCTCCAAAGGGGCGCGGCCTCGTCCCGGGGAAACCAGCCCGAGCCCTCCCCGCTTCGCTGGGCGGATGCGACAGGCTCCGGCTCCGGGCCCGCCCCGTGGGATCGGGGCCCCGGGTCTGCCAGGAGGAGGGGGTGGGGGGCGTGAGCTGGCTGACTGCCCAGCCTGGCCCGGGTGGACCCCCAAGAACTGGGGTGAGGCCAACAGAGAGTGCGGTGGGAATACAGAGGAGGGGGGGAGGCCACTAGGGGAGGCAGCGGGGTCCCGGAACAGCTGAAGACCCCGGGGCCGGTGGCCTGGGTGTGCAAGGTCTGCCCAGCGTTAATACCCACCTCTCGGCATCCAAAGGGCTTTCCGGAGGAAGTGGCACGGTCACCGTTTTACGGATCTGGGGAGACAGGCACAAGGGCGGGGTTTGCCCTACATCCCCCAGCAGCAGCGCCTTTCCCCCGGGCCGCCCCTCCAGCCCTGCTGGGCCGTCTCCCCGGAGCTGGGCCTGGCACCACCCAGCGGGTTTCTAACGAGTGTTTCTGTGTCCCTGCTGTGTCTGAGGGGGTGGGGGAAGGGGCGAGGGTTGCTGAGTCCAGAGTCCAGCCCTAGACTAGGGCCCAGCGCATCAGCCTGGCGTGTCCCAGGGCGCCAGGGCAGGGATCCTGCTGGGCAGAAGGCGGCATGCGGGTTGTGGGGTTCCGGCCCCTGCTCTAGCATGAGCTCGCTGTGGGGTTGGACATGAGACATGGCCCCTCTGCCTCACTCTCCTCCTCTGGCTGCCCCCCAGGCTGCCACCGGGGTTCATCCCATAGCCGTGACGGCTGGCCCAGGGGTTAGGGTATGAGTTAAAATCTGTGGTTCAATTCCCTGCCCCACCACAGACTCTCTGTGGGACTTGCGGGCTAGATCCATGTAGGTTCAGTGGGCAACACCAAACTTCAGGTGCCTGCCGCCCACCGTGGTCCTTAGCCCTACGTCCGGCCCCCAGCCCGGGCTCCCTGTACCATGCCCTGGGGGAGCTTGGTGCCTGAGAATGGGCTGCACAGAAGCCAGAAATTGGAGCAGGAAATGCCCAGGAGAGGGGTCTGGCCTGAACCCTGCCCCTCAAAGGGCTTTAGGCACCTCCATCTGCTCGAGAGGCTGAGCCGTGAGCCCTCTCCCGGTGCCAAAGTCGGGGCAGCCTTTGCTCACCAAAACCCATTGGGCTCTGGGGTACGCAGGGGAGCCTCTCTCAGTGTCTCACGTTGTAGGCTGGACTTCAACGACAGGGCCGGAAGGGACCCCAGAGACTTTCAAACACGGGCTGCAAGGTAAGTTCTGCAGTCGCTCGCACATTCAAACCAAGGGTCTAGCAAACCAACGTCAAAGGAACGGAATGAAAACAACAAAAGCAGAAGTAGCATTTTCCCAAGGGCCCAGCGGGCGGGAATTAGCCCATTCATCAGCCTGCCCTGGATTTGAGTCACAGGATGTGAAATCTCTCGCCTTGGCCAGCTGCCAGGGCTGCTCTTGGGCGGCTGGTGGGCTGGGGTTGGAGTTTGGATTTCGGGGAGATAATGTGGCGAAACCAGCAGTTATTGGGCCTTGCAACAGGAAGGTTGGATTCCGGTCGGGACTACACAGCTCAGTGCGATGTTGGCAACTCCTGTGATATGTTGTGTGTGTGTGTTGGGGGGGGGGGGGTTCTTAAGGCCTCAGCTCCAGGAGTCCTGTGATGACGGGGGGGTGTCTGCTTCACTTAAATGAAAAAGTCAGGTCCCTATCTCTTGTGGTGCTAGAGAAAAGCTTGAAAATGTGATTCCCCAACAGCTCAAAGCCCAGAAGGCAAATGTTGGGGTTCTGTTAATTAATTTAGTCGTGCAAAAATCTCCTGATTTTGAAGCTGCTCTCAGGATTTTGGGGGCGCTTGGTGATTCTGAGGCAGACGAGATGATCGTAACGGTCCCGTCTGGCCTTGGAATCTAGGAATCTCTGCAAATGTCTGAATTACAGCCGCTCGACCCCGATGCTCCTCTCGGCCTCACCGGTGTAAATCAAGAATAATTTCTCTGGCACAAATGGAGCAAGGCTGGTGTGTGTGTGAAGAGAATCCAGAGCTGATTCCTCCTCTCTGCTCACTCTAATGGAGAGAGGCAATTCCAGGCCCAGACTTTATCAGGAAAACAGCAGCTCCCAGGGAGATAAACAATGGTTCCAGTCCTTGTGTGAGACCACCGCTCGCCTCACCTGTGACAACTGAACTGAGCGGATCCCAAATAGAGCTGGGGAAAATGCCTCCTTGAAACAAGCAAGGCAACAGGCTCCATCTGCAGAGGCAGATCCTGGTGCTCAGAACATGCCTGGTGGGTCGCAGTGGGACTTTTCTGTAAAATGTTTAGGAACCCTATGCGTGCCTCAGTTTCCCTTATATTTTGCATGGCTACCCAGTGTGGGGAAAAGGCCTAAGTTTGCTCTCAGAGCAGGCTGAGAGATGCAGGAGTGCACGGTGCCTAGCCGTCTGAGCCTCATTAAAAAGGACTGGCCGAGGCCACCCCCATATCAAAGGAGAATCCGAGCCGACAATGGCAAAGCCAATCACCAGGCATTGACAGCCAGCAAGCGGGAGATGGATTTCCCCACCTCGCAGCAGGGAGGCTGACCACAGACCCCCCCCCCCAAAGGACTGGGAAGGTGTGAGGTGGGGGAGGAGGGTAAGAGTTGGCTACTGGAGGGAGTGGGGGGCTCTCACTTGGGAACTGAGGGGGCCAGACAGAGATAGACGGAGCCTGAACATGGGGTTCACTGCAGCATGGCTGGGCTCTGGGCCGACCAGACTGGTCTGTGCTGCTACCATCTGTGCTAATCTAAGGACTTCCACTGCTGGGCTCCAGGTGACTAATACCGCACCCTGCAAGTGCTGGGCGAGGTGCGTTAATCCCTGCGGAGTGGACACGTCTGTCCCAGGGGTCTGACTCGGCTGGACTCTCTCACGGGGTGAAGCAGGAGGGCTGGAGCCCCCGAGGTTCAGTCAAGGATGGGTGAGGCCACATGGCTTACCCTGGAGGAAGAGCGAGACCCATCGGCTGTGCCATAACAAGGGCAAGGCGAGTGAGGCACTTGCCTCGGGCGCATAAAGCTGAGGGGCGCAGAAAAAGACAAATGAAGTTTTTTAATTCTTATTATTTTATGAAAAATTATAATCACATAATATGCACATTGTGTCATGACAAATGTACAATGTAAATGGACAATAAATAGAATACACCCTACAGTAATTATAAAGCATTGGGTCTCAAACTGGGGGTCGCGACCCCTCGGGGGGTCGCAACCCGGTTATGTGGGGGGTAGCGAGCCCCGACCCCGGCATGCAGCTGCAAGTTGCGAGCCCCGACCCCTGTGTGGAGCTGCGGGGCTATGAGCCCCAACCCAGGCGCGCGGCTGTGATCTGCGAGCCCCAACCCCGACCCCTGTGTGGAGCTGCGGGGCTACGAGCCCCGGCCGCTGCGCCGGGCTGTGAGGTCCAACCCCGACAGGGACGCGCGGCTGCGAGCTCCGCCCCTGTGCCCACAGTCCATGATGCACTATGATGCACACCTTATATGTATTAGTTGATTTTGTATGCGGATCTTATGATTAAAATAAATAAACGTTCTGTTATCATTATTATTCTTGTTATTTACATATATATATATTTTTTTTACAAAGTAACTACTGTGAAATTATATGGAGCGGGGAGGGTGCAATTTTATATTCTTGCCTCAGGCCCAAAAATAGCTAGTTACGGCTCTGCCCGTCAGGGTCTGACCCCCTGAAGGGTTCCTCCAAGAGACAGTTCCAAAGCTGGGGGTCGTAGCACTGACCCTGTGGATCTGTGGCACCCAGCCTGCTGCATTCCAGACCAGCGTTAGCTCCTGGCTCCCTGCTGCAGCTCCCAGGCCCAGCAAACCCAGCCTGGGCCCTGCTAACTCAAGGAATACAGTAGCTGCGGTAGTAGGAGGATATTTGGCGCCTCTGTTTCTTTAAAAAGTTGTTTATTTTGCTGCCAGACTGGAAGATCTGTAACCTGCATCTCGCTTACACCCAGTGAGCGTGAGCCAAGGTCAACAACACCCGCAGCAGCAACAGGCGCGGCGGGGGGGGGGGGGGGCGGAGGAGTTGTGGAACACAAACACTCAAAAGGTGAAATTCCCCCCAGGAGGGGCCCTGCAAACATCCCCTGGGGAATCCAGACAGTCCTTAGCCTTCATCCTCTCCCTGCTAGAGAATCCATTAGGATGGTTCCAAAATCCTAGAGGACGGGTCTGAGCCCCTGGTAATTTCTGCAGGCTCTAGGAGTAACTTGTATAACCCTAGTCAATGTCAGTAGCACTGTTGTGGCTGGCGTCACCAGGGGGCGCTGTACCACAGCCTTCCAAGTGTTCGTTCTTAGCAGTGTGAGCAAGTTTGGACTTTTGGGAGACATGCTGTGATGGAGTTAATGGATGGGTGATGCAGAGTTTGGTGCAAGCAGGGCGAGTGGTTGGAGTCAATTACTGAGGTAGAGTCACTCCCTGGGAACCAGGTGTTCGCACTGGGCTGAGATTCCTGGGAGAGACCTCGTGCGCTGTTTGTGGCCATCCCTGCTCCAGAACTGGTGCATGTGTGTAAACCCACAAGTTACACTTAGAATAGCCCTGGACTCCACGTCACTAATTTCTCCTCCACTGGCCAGGCTGAACTGCAAGGCCCCCAGACACCTGCTACTGCCCAGCAGAGGGGTGACACGGTGTCAGAGCAGCACACTGGTGACAGAATGGGCCCTTGGGTCTGTGCTTGGCTCCTGCAACGCAGACCATTCCCGCGTTCCTCACTGGCTGATCTGCTCCAACTCCGCCAGCCTGAATCTCACTTTGGCGTTTCCTGCCGGTGTTTCTAGCCTCCCTTTGTATCATTTCTCTCAGCTCCTGCTTTCCTTTGACCTTGTCAATTTCATTACCGTGCTGTTCGCCCCTGTCCTCCGACCATTGACTCGGCTCATTATAAGGATGATTTCTATTGTACCATTGTGTAGGGGCCCAATCAGAGATCAGGGACCCATTGTGCCAGGTGATGCACAGACTCTGACCTCTGATAAGGTGTAAATTTTAAGGGTGAGAATAATTAACCACGGGAACAATTTACCACGGGCTGTGGTGGATTCTCCATGGCTGGCTATTTTCAAGTCAAGATGGGATGTTTTGCTAACGGATCAGCTCTGGGAGTTATTTTGGGGCAGTTCTTTGGCCGGTGCTGTCCAGGAGGTCAGACCGATGATCACCGAGGTCCCTGCTAGCCTTGGAATCCAGGAACATGTGAATCTTTTGGCCGGACATGGTAACAGGTGTGGTGCACTGCATTGGCTTCACACTTCTGTTGTTCAGCAGGACAGTTTCAGTCGCTGGGTTTAGTGTGCGAGGCTGGGTTGTGTTGGTGGCCTGTGGTAGACGAGGGGGTCAGACTACATGATGAGGTGGTCTTTTCTGGCCTTAAACTCTCTGACTTTATGTTTGA